TTAGTTTTTGTAAAATGATTATCTATTATTACGTATTATGTTGTTAAAGGTTACTTACTGTTCATATTTACTTTTCTATTCCTTATTTGTGAATGTTGTTGCTCTACATGAATTTATTATGTTTATTTCTGTTCATTTCTCTTGCATTTGATGTTTTTCCTCCTTCCTTTCACCTGTGATCATTTACTGTGTCATTCTATTCTCGATCACTTAGTGCTCTGCTTATTTATTTCTGTATCTTTAACTGCCTGTGTTCATTTTTAGTTGGCTGATATTCGACGCTTAGAGCAGTATTTGTAGTCCTCCAGGTACTATCAATAAGTTTTACCAATAAATATTGTTAATCTGTGTCTATTTCTTTTTTTTTTGTTTTGTGTTTCATTAGTGAGTAATACGTGGATGCTGACTTACACTTTATCTATTTCTTAGTAACATATATTTCTACCAATAGGTTTTTAATGTCTTTTGTTGATATTGCATATAGTGGTTTTGCTGTGGCACTATTAATATCTGTCGTTTTTCTTTAAATTCTCTTTTACTGTTAATATGTGTTGTTAATCTGTCTATACTTCTTTTTCTTTCTTCTGTGTTTCATTAGTCAGTAGTGCCCAGTTGTTGACTTGCAGTTTATTTGCCTCTTAGTAACATACTTACATACATATCTTTAAATCATATATTTTATTATTTTATTATTTTTTTTATGGCAATGATGAATACAATTGATTTTGGCGCCTTGAGTTTTATATGATTTGTCCAGAGATTGCTGTGAATATATCATCCCTTTATCATAATTCAAAAGTTGTTTGACTATTGCTGAGTTATTTGCCTATCATTTTTAGTCATTTTGTTTTTGCTCTGGCGATGATTTTCACTCATTTTGAACCCCTGCTATTCCCTTTTATTTTGTTATTGTGTTCTTTACTTTTGGGTTGGAATTTTTTGTCATTTGACACAGGTGAGGCCACAGCTTCTACTTCCTCCTCGATTTCCTATTGTTTTCTATCTCTTTTACCTTTTTTTCTTCCCTCTTTGGTCTAGTCCGCTTCTTTCACTTGCTTTTTGGTTTCTTGTTGCTTTGTGCATCTAATAAAATTCATGTTTTTTCATCATTCTTTTAATTCACTTGGTAGTCTCTGGAAAAGTTTATATTTTACTCTGGTTGGTCATTCTCTGTGACTTACAAGTTATAATTTGTGTGATGGATACAATATCTTATTAATTTTTGCGCTTTTGTGCAATTACCCTTAGTAGGCAGCCACAAAAATGGCTATAAATATATAAGTTTATTTATTCATCACACATTGCTGAGAATGTAGAATATTTGAGCCATAATTCTTGCATAAAAATATTGTGATATTCTTGACTGCTCTTTTCATCTAGTGATTTATTCATTCATTTACTTACCTATTTTTCATATTCTTTCAGATTCTGTATCCTTTAGTGCACTTGACTCGGAGATTAAATACAGTGAATCTCTTGACTCTGTTTCTGTTGCACTTCACACTCGATCATTTACTACTCTACTGTTCTTTGATCATTTAATTGTTGCTCCATCATTTATTGCTCTATCTCTTCATCCCTCACTTTTTCCACTGCATCTGTTGACATTTGGTTGGCTAATGTTCCATATTTAAGGCACTATTTACGGCATTCCAGGTACCATAAATAATTTATGTTTAGTATTCTTTGTTGATATTGAATGTATTGGTTTACTGCTCCTTGATAATTTACTCTTTATGTTTTATGACTCTGCATTGATTTACTATGATGATATTACTATGTATTGATGTTCTGTTGATTTGCTTCTTAGTATTATATATATATATATATTCCTTTTCACCAAAATTTCTTGACTATTTCTTTCATATTTTCTCCACTTTTTCTGATGATATTGACTTTTTGTTTATTAGTTTCTTAATACTATATATATATATATATATATATTTCTTTTTGCTATTTATCTTCTATTTTTCTTTACTTATTCTGATGCTTTAGGCTCTTTGTTATTACTATTTCATTTAAAAATTATTTGCAGATACGTTTTTTATTTATTTATTTATTTATTTATTTGGACTCTGATTTTGTCTATTGTTTTTGACTAGAAGTTTTTGGCTTGCCTCATGTTGTTTTTTCCACTTATTCTTATGCTTTTGGTTTTTTAACATTAGTATTTTATTGAAAATTTATTTACACAAACATTATTTTTTGTTTTCTGTTGTTGGATTCTCATCTCCAACTTCTTTTATTATCTTTTCATACAAAAAAAAAATTGAGGGGAAAAAAAATTTTCTATCTTATTTCAGTTTGCTAATGGTTTTAGATTATATATTGCATTTTTTGTTCTCGAGTTCTTAGAGTTTTCTCTATGTTTGGTTACATTTCACTTATTTTGGATTTTTGGTATTCCTATTTTTATTTTGTTTCTTGAATTTCAGCTATTCAGAATACTCTTTTTTTTTCCCTCTATTTTTTCCTCTATTTTTTCCTTTGCGGCGCAGGAACTATTGGATTTTCCCTTAACACAATCATACAGTTTTATCATGAGTTTTTAATTCCTTCATTTGATTGCCTTTTCAATGCTTTGATTGAACCTGGCTTATTCATTTCATTTAGCCATATTCCTTAGTTTTTTATCTAATTAATTTTGTTTCCATTAATACTCTGTTTTTGTCATCATATTTTTCATTTTTTTTTTACATTTTACCCCCTCTTTTTTAAAAACTATTTTGTTGGCTATTTTCTTTCTTATTTAATTCACTTGGTAGTTTTTAGACAATTATATATATTACTTGAGTGATTTAAATTGTAGCAAATATATATATTATAATTTATGTGATGGATATAATGGGCACGTTTGGAACTCGTTCCAAAATGATTTTATTTTTTGTATGAAAATGAAAATGAAAACGTTTTCAATTTCAGACAGAAATTATTTTTAAAAATATGTTTGGTAGTTTTATTAAGAGATTATTTTTAGTATAAAAAAACCCATTAATGTCTCTCTCTCTACTCGAGAGAGGAGAAAACGAAAATAAAAAATGAAAAACGACTAAAAGTTGTTTTTCATTTCTTTATCATTTTACACTAAACTAAAAAATCGTTTTCATTTCTGTTTTTTGTCTTTATTGCGCCAAACGCTATTCTAGAAACGTTTTCATTTTTTTTCTCAAAAAACGTGTAAAGTAAAAATTAAATCAATTCTAAACACGGTCAATGTATTACTCATTTATGTGCTTTTGTTTAGTTGCAAGTGATGTCTTTTATTTTAGCAAAATCAATTACATTGGCAGTTACAAAAGTATTATCAATATCTGTTGAGAATATTGGATATCTTGAACACAATTATTGTATACAAATATTATCATATTTATCCTTTATTAGTTTTCTTTCTTTGTTTTTTTATTATTATTTTTGGTTTATTGATTTATTTACTTATTTATTTATATTTTTTCAATTTTTTCAAATTTCTTTCTCTTCATTCTCTAAAATTTATACAACCAAATTTTGTTATAGAGGACTTTTAATTTATTTGTTCAGCTATGAAGGAGGAAGCAGTAGGACATGAAATTCATACTTATTTCTTGAGTTGTATATGAATTTTGTTTATGTATTATTTTTACGTTATTCATTTATTTTTTATATAATTATGCTTAGCATTGTAAATTTAAAATTTTAATCATTGTAAACATGTGATCATTGTAGACATTTTTATATTACTTTATTTTGAGTGAACTAGAGTGCAAATATTATGATAGTTTTATTAATTAAATTTGTTATTTGCATATCGTTATTTTGATTATATACAATGTAAAGAACTTCTTACTAAAATATTATATAGATATATCTTAGTTTATATTAACAAATCTTATACTATAAAAGTTTCTGTCATTTTATATAAATTGAATAGTATTTTTCCGCTATAATGTGTGAGAATATTGCAATGATAATAGTGATTGATTTGAATAACATAATTGCCAATATCTTATATATATATATTGTAAATAACTTTATATGATAATATCTTATGTATATATGTATAAATATACATAAATAATCTACTTCTATTGTATAAAAATTATCAATTTTTTTTAAAATACAAAATTACCTCCTACTGCAATACGCGCGCATCCATTACTAGTATTTTCTATTGAGCCAAGAGGATGAGAGTGATTTTCTCCCCGGAATCTTTTATCGTATCCATACGTGTAGAGTGAGTGACGTGCCATTTTAACATCCTTAACAATTGTAGCATAGCATTAACCAACTAATACATATTTTCTTAGAATAAAAAAAAATACCTTGAGAGTTTGTTCAGTTACATTTTTTATTTATAATAATTTGAGTGTAAATTTTAAGTTGAATTTGAATTATAATTTGAGTTGAAGTTATAATTTGAGTTTGTGTTTGGATGTGTACATTTAAGTTATGATTTGAATTGAGAATCTATTTGAGTTTGTGTTTGAGTATGTCAAAATTTAAATTTATATTTAAATAATATTTTAATAAAAACTCAATAGTGATGACAAATTTTAATAGGATATATGGGTGAGGTTTTATTCGTCTCTTTCTTGTGAACGTATAGAAAAAAAATCATATCAATCGGAATTAAAATGAAAAGATTATAACGTTTTTAAGAATAGAAAAAATACTGTTCATTAACTTGAGTTTGAGTTTAAAAACTTGAGTTAAAGGGGACACTTAAACTCAGATTTTAGTTCTAAACTCAAGTTAAAATACAAATTTAAACTCAAATTTTATAAATAAATATTAAAATTATAACTTGAGTAAAAATTTTTTTGAGTTTTACTCAAAAAAAAAAAAAAAAAAAAAAAAAAAAAAAAACCCTCCATTTATCCACGTCCGCCGAACAAAAAATCTCAAACAGCTTCTGACCAAAAAAAATGAAAGATGTTCCAAGCAGAAAAATAAAAAGAAAAATTCTAATACTATGATGACACGTATGCGATCTTTAAACCACATCCGCTCCCAAAATATGACACCCCTTTTCTCTCTCTTCCCTCATCCCCTGCGCCAAAATAAGCCCAGGAGTTCTCTTATCCCTCTCTTCTTCACTCACTTTTTCCTCAATATTTTCTGCTTCCAAAGGTACGTACTTCTTCAATTATGCTTCCTTTGTAATGGGCATTTATCTGTTTTGTGTTTGGTTGTTGATTGGACTTGGATTTTTTCTTCAGTTTTGGAAGAAATGGAATGAATTTTTTTAGTTGGAGATGAGCTTCCTTGGTTTTTGTTTTGTTTTGTTTCAGTTGTCTTTCGTTGGAGTTGCTTTGATTTGGGTTCGTTTCGTTTTTGTTCTTTATTGGGCTTATAATCTAGTGTTTTTGTGGATTTTTTGAATTGGAGCTCATTGAAGCTGAAAAGTATTGGAAGGGGTTTGATTTGCTTCCAACTTAATTTGAATGCCATGTTTCGTTACCATGAGAAAAATAGTTTATATATATATATATATATAATTGCAATTTTCCATTTTCTCTATTTTTTCCCCTTTCTTTCTGTGTTCTGTTTACTTTCTCAGAATATTGAGTATATGTATTGAAACTTGCAAAATGATTAATTTTCTTAATCTGCCCCCATTGTTTCTGATGTGATTGTAGTTTAGATTGACTCATGTATTCTTGAGGTTTGTATTTTGCGCTTGTAATGTTTTCTTGTTGGTTTTCATGATAATTGCTGAATTTATTATGTTATGTTTTGGATTAATCACTATTATCGAATGCCTTTTGTGGTACCTACAGATGGCAGCATCATCAGCATGCCTTGTGGGAAATGGTTTATCGACTCGTGCTACTAAATCTGCTTTAAGCAAGGACTTTTATGGTAGACATCTTCTCCCTTCTGCAAGCCTTCCATCATTGGTTAAGGTGACAAAAGTGGTTTCCATTAAGGCTTCGCTCGAGCAAAAGCAACACGAAGGAAGAAGAGGCTTTCTTAAGTTGTTGCTTGGGAATGTGGGAATTGGCGTTCCTGCTTTGCTTGGAGCCGGAAAGGCCAAAGCCGATGACCAAGGGGTTTCTTCCTCTAGGATGTCTTATTCCAGATTTTTGGAGTATCTGGACAAGGATAGAGTGAAGAAGGTAGATTTATTTGAGAACGGAACCATCGCTATAGTGGAAGCTGTTTCTCCCGAGCTGGGAAACAGAGTGCAGCGAGTCCGGGTGCAACTTCCAGGGCTTAGCCAGGAGCTTCTCCAGAAGTTCAGGGAGAAGAACATTGACTTCGCTGCACACAATGCTCAAGAAGACTCGGGTTCTCTATTGTTCAACTTGATTGGAAATTTGGCTTTCCCTCTAATTTTAATTGGGGGCTTGTTCCTACTTTCAAGGCGTTCTTCTGGAGGTATGGGTGGCCCGGGTGGACCTGGGTTCCCCTTGGCCTTTGGTCAATCTAAAGCCAAGTTCCAAATGGAGCCTAACACCGGGGTGACATTCGATGATGTTGCTGGGGTAGATGAAGCAAAGCAGGACTTTATGGAGGTGGTGGAGTTTTTGAAGAAACCTGAGAGGTTCACCGCAGTTGGGGCTCGCATTCCTAAGGGTGTTCTTCTTGTTGGCCCCCCTGGAACTGGAAAGACCCTGCTAGCCAAGGCAATTGCTGGGGAAGCTGGTGTTCCATTTTTCTCAATCTCAGGTTCTGAGTTTGTTGAAATGTTTGTTGGAGTTGGTGCTTCTCGTGTACGTGATCTTTTCAAAAAGGCCAAGGAGAATGCGCCTTGCATTGTGTTTGTTGATGAAATTGATGCTGTTGGACGTCAAAGAGGTACTGGTATTGGTGGAGGAAACGATGAAAGAGAACAGACCCTTAACCAGCTTTTAACAGAAATGGACGGTTTTGAAGGTAACACTGGAATCATTGTTATTGCTGCAACAAACAGAGCAGACATTCTCGACTCCGCCTTATTGAGGCCTGGAAGGTTCGATAGGCAGGTAAGAAAGTGTGAAATATGATTACATGCTCATTCATTACTTCAAATCAAACATCAAAATTGCTTAGAGATGATTTCTGATGCAGGTGACTGTTGATGTTCCGGATATCCGAGGAAGAACTGAGATCTTAAAGGTTCACGCTAGCAACAAGAAGTTTGACGGAGATGTATCTCTTGATGTTATAGCCATGAGAACCCCTGGTTTCAGTGGAGCTGACCTTGCCAACCTTCTTAATGAGGCTGCTATATTGGCTGGTCGGCGTGGGAAAACAGCAATCTCATCGAAAGAGATTGATGATTCAATTGATAGAATTGTAGCTGGAATGGAAGGTACCGTAATGACAGATGGGAAGAGCAAAAGTCTGGTTGCATATCATGAAGTTGGGCATGCCATATGTGGGTAAGTTTGATAGTTGCTCCGTTGTCTGGTTTTTTCAGAAAGTCTCCATAGTGTAATACGAGGCTTAGTTTTCAACTTGATAATGATTTTCTTTTCACAGACAGTGACACTTTCTTGAACCAAAACATCATACTTAAATTTAAGCCATTAAAGATTTAAAGTTGATAGCTTCATGAGCATGATTCTCAAATCTATTCTAGTTGTGATCCAGGATAATTGGGTTTTATTTTTGCTTGAGTGGCATCACTTTCAACTAGAAAAACTAACCAAGCTTCTTAATTAACACAGGACTCTGACTCCGGGGCATGATCCTGTTCAAAAAGTAACCTTAATTCCGCGAGGTCAGGCACGTGGTCTTACCTGGTTCATTCCCTCGGATGACCCTACTCTGATATCCAAGCAGCAACTGTTTGCTAGAATCGTTGGTGGACTTGGTGGTAGAGCTGCAGAGGAGGTTATCTTTGGTGAGCCCGAGGTGACAACAGGTGCAGCTGGTGATCTGCAACAGATTACCGGTTTGGCTAAACAGGTACAAAATAAAATAAAAATAAAAAAATATTCCCCTCATTTGATCATTCTAAGAATTGCAAGTTAAAAAATTTGATTGGCTTGTTTGCAGATGGTAACCACATTCGGAATGTCGGAGATTGGCCCATGGTCACTAATGGACACATCAGCTCAGAGCGCAGATGTAATTATGAGAATGATGGCAAGGAATTCAATGTCGGAAAAACTTGCTGAAGACATTGATGCCGCTGTCAAGAGATTATCGGACGAGGCATATGAGATTGCATTGAGCCACATAAGGAACAACCGTGAGGCTATTGACAAGGTCGTGGAAGTTCTTATAGAGAAGGAAACAATGACCGGGGATGAATTCCGGGCCATTCTGTCAGAGTTTGTGGAAATCCCAGCTGAAAACCGGGTTCCTCCTGCAGTTCCAACACCAGTCACTGTTTAAACGACTCAAATCATACTGTTATTAACACTTGGGAAAACAAAAGCTATAAATATCTTCAATTGGTTAGATGTATCATAACTTTAATTTTGATCACATATGTAAAGCACTCTTTATTAGACTAAAATGAGAGAAATCTCCTCATTTGGTGCCCTGGTTTTGCTTGGCATAACTCAAATGCATTTAGCTGCAGGCTTGGATGAAACATTATTCCGTGTATATGTACATTTTGTAGCATCGTAAATTTTGTTTTGGGAAACAGACTTGTAACCGCGGCAATTCATTTATTTTAATACGCGCTTAAAGACCAAGGCCCATAAAGAATTTCAATGCCCACTACGAGAAACACGAAAAACTTAACGTGATTGAGGAATCATGCCAAGTCCGAAGTTTGTAACACGTATACATGAACATGTGTTATTGGTGCAAAATTTACTTTCGAAACAAACTTATTTCTTTGTTGAGAAACATAAAAATATAGACATTCTTGCCATCTTCTCTCTCTCTCTCTCTCATTTATTTATTTGTTTAATATCTACAATACATGAATTAGCTTAGCTAAACTAAAGATTCTAACTCATTATTCTGTATCACCTTTCCTTGTAGGACGGGCAAATGAAACACAGAATTCTACAGTCGAGTAGGAAATTATACTCTACGAATACAACGGTCATATCACATTAAAATTGTATCCAGAGCCAAGAACTTTTATCAGTGGATACTAATAATAAAAAATAAAATAATTAGGAGAATGTTGAATCAAAATTTTAATATTTAGTGGGGGCTATGTGTATTTATCCATATAATAAATTATATATTGTTTTAGGAGAACTAAATTACATCTTTACACGCGCACTTATATTGTAATAATTTTCTTCTGGCTCTTTACATGATTATATTAAATTAAGAAAAGTATGACTCTGTTTGTATATAATCACTTAAAAATATTGGCAAACTCCTTACACTAGCTTGAAACAGCCCACTAAGCAAATGAAATGCATGGGCAAATCTTGTCTAAATCACGTTCGCTTATGCAGTTTGTTCAACACCCAATGTATCAAAACCAGACATTTTATCTCCACAAGCACCTCCAAAACTGGTGCTTCTACATCTATAGAAGAATTCACTGCCCTCTGCTCCAAAGGACACGTCAAAGAAGCCTTTAAAAGCTTCAGATCGGAGATATGGTCAGACACATCTCTTTTCTGTCACCTTGTCCAAGCATGCATACTCAGAAAATCACTTCCAATGGGGAAACAGCTTCATTCTTTGACAATTACATCTGGGTGTTTGAACAAGTTTTTCTCAAATCACCTCCTTAGCATGTACTCCAAACTCCGAGAATCACAAACTGCTATAACGTTGTTTGATCACATGCCTTGGAGAAACATTATGTCGTGTAACATAATGATAAATTGTTACGTGCAAAGTGGTGATTTGGATAGTGCCCGCAATGTTTTCGACGAAATGCCACAAAGAAACGTTGCTACGTGGAATGCTATGGTTTCCGGTTTGATCCAGTTTGAGTTCAATGGAGACGGGTTGTGTCTCTTTTCGGAAATGCATGAGTTAGGATTTTTGCCTGATGAGTACACTCTAGGTAGCGTTCTTCGAGGATGTGCGGGTTTGAGATCTTTACGTGCAGGGAAACAGGTTCATGCTTATGTAATGAAAAGTGGGTTCAAGTTCGATTTGGTTGTTGGGAGCTCTTTGGCTCACATGTATATGAAGTCTGGAAGCTTGGAAGAAGGAGAAAAAGTGATCGACTCTATGCCAATTCGGAATGTGGTTGCTTGGAATACGCTTATAGCAGGAAAAGCTCAAAGTGGGCATCCAGAGGAAGTGCTGGATAACTATAATATCATGAAACTTGCGGGTTTAAGACCTGACAAGATCACTTTTGTGAGTGTAATTAGTTCATGTTCAGATTTGGCAACACTTGGACAGGGCCAGCAGACTCATGCTGAGGCGATAAAAGCAGGGGCTTGTTCTGTAGTTGATTTGACTAGCACATTGGTTAGCATGTACTCAAGATGTGGGTGTCTGGAAGATTCTGTGAAAGTTTTCGTGGAAAGTGAAAGTATGGATCCGGTGTTGTGGAGCTCTATGATTGCGGCTTATGGGTTTCACGGCCGAGGAGAGGAAGCCATCAAACTGTTTGAACGAATGGAGGAGGAGGGTATGGAAGCAGATGATGTTGCTTTCTTAAGCTTGCTCTATGCGTGTAGCCATTGCGGATTGAGGGAGAAAGGGTTGGAATTCTTTGACTTGATGGTTGGAAGGTATGGATTGAAGCCTAGACGGGAGCACTATGCGTGTATTGTCGATCTACTCAGTCGTTATGGTTGTTTGGAGGAAGCAGAGGCCATGATACGATCAATGCCCATTAAAGCTGATGCTATCATATGGAAAATTTTGTTGGCTGCATGCAAGATACACAAAAATGCAGACGTGGCAAGTCGGGTTGCTGAGGAAGTTCTCAAGGTGGATCCACAGGATTCGGCTTCTTATGTGCTACTTTCCAACGTTCATGCTTCTGCCAAAAGGTGGGAGGATGTTTCTGCAGTTAGGAAAATGATGAGAGATAAGAATCTTAAGAAGGAACCGGGTGTGAGCTGGGTGGAAATAAAGAATCAAGTTCACCAGTTCTCTAGGGGTGATAGATCTCATCCAAAGTCTAAGGAGATTGATTTGTATCTGAATGAACTAACGACCGAGATGAAATTCCGCGGTTATGCGCCCAACACGAGTGCTGTTTTACATGACATGGATGTTGAGGAGAAAGAGGACAGCTTGGCACATCACAGTGAGAAGTTGGCAATTGCATTTGCCTTAATGAACACCCCTGGTGGTGTACCGTTAAGGATAATGAAGAATCTGCGGGTATGTGAAGATTGTCATCTGGCCATTAAGTACATATCTGAGACAAAAAACCGCGAAATAATTGTGCGTGATAGTAGTAGATTCCACCACTTCAGGAATGGAGGTTGTTCTTGTGGAGACTACTGGTGAGAGAAGGTCAGTTAATAGTGTTTTCATAATCAAAATCATGTGATTTAGAATTACTATTAGAGCCTGTTTGGTTTATGGATTAAAACTATGAGATTAGAACTATTTTCGATTTACGTGTATTTTTTGTGAAAGAAAATACTGTAGCGAACCATAAAACATGATTCGAATCAGAGAACGAATCTTCCAACTAAACGGGCTCTTAGTCTATCACATTGGTGTTGCTTGAGGTTGTTGGGAATGGTGTCCTAGAAATATGAGATGTAATAGGACATTTATTATTTATTTATTTAATAAAAGAGTTTATTCATCATTTTATGTGTGTATATATTTGTGAATATTTTATGAATATCAATGAAAATTTCATAATTATTTATGTGACCTTAAATATTGTATATAAGTATTATATGCGAGAGGATAATGTTTAAGGATAATAATAAAAAAGCGATGTTCATAATGAATTTAATTAAAGTTCAGAATCTTTAATTAAAACATTACTAATACATGTCATTCCCATTTCGAATGGAACGATGTTATCCGCACTGTTAATATGGTGAGATATTGAATGAGTGTATTTCGTATAATAAGATTATGTGGAATAGTGACATGGACACAATATGAATTTCTAATAATTTTTGTTAAGTATAGAAATTCTAATTGAGTCTACCGATGGTCATATATAGAATGATCTTAATCCTGAGTTCTTAACAAACTCCTATTTATGAATTTGTGTCTTTTGATTTACTCGGTACGTATTCTGAGACCCTAAATCCTATTCCTTGTATTTTGGAGACATTATGAAGTAGGTAGCCGGGAATGTTATTATACGAGATGGAATCCATTCCTTCTTGAGAAAGAAGAAGATAAATAGTTCTCTTGAGTGTTGATTCGATACTTGGATTAGTAAGAGCGCTCTGATTCATAAATGTGTTTTATGAATTACTATCCATTAGAAAATCAATGGTACCCAGGGATGAAGATATAATTAGAAATGTTAACGGATTTCACATAGTTCTAATTATGAATTATTTATGAAGGATTGATCTATATGCAGTGACTATATCAAATGGACACTTTACAGTTTAGAAGTAATTTATGTCCATAATTTTGAGAGTGCAATTCCAAGTTTATAGTGGAGTAACTATTAGAATTAATGTAATTAATTAATTAATTAAAGTGTTTAATTAATTATTAATTTTATTGGAGCTCGAGATTGTATGTCTATTAGTCCCCGCGTCATCCTTATAATTCTACCAGACACAAAGGGCAAAATGAGAATTTTAGAATTACGAAATTCTAAAATTAAACACTCGAAAATAATATAACTGAGCATTAATTATTATTTAAATAATGTGATTATTTAAATTTGAATTTAAATTGTGAACATAATTTAAATTTATCATTTTAAACTTATTTGATAAGTTGTTCAATTTAGTATTCAAATTAATTTAAGTTTCACTTAAATTGGGATTTGAATTTGAATCAAAATTGGACTGCAGGATAAATGATGATTTTCTCTTCCTTCCCTATCTGTATTTGGCGCCTACAGGGATAGGATCACCTAGGTTTGCCGGCCATCTTGAGGATAAGGAGCATGAGGGGTTGTTCTTTTACAATAAAACAGTTTGAACCCGAGTTACAACTTTATTTAAGTTTATATTCTTTTCTAAAACTTGAGTTTGAACTTGAGTTTGAACTCGAGTTTTAACTCGAGTTTACGGCTAAACTCGAGTTCAAGTTTCCCCTTCAACTCGAACTTAAGTTAATGAACAATATTTTTTCTATTCTTAAAAATATCATAACTTTTTCGTTTAAATTTTAATTGAGATGATTTTTTTCTATGCATTTACAACGAAAAGACGAATAAAACCCCACCCATATACCCTATTAAAATTTTTCATCACCATTGAATTTTTATTAAAATATTATCTACATACAAATTTAAGTTGTGACTCACTCAAACACAAACTCAAAAAGATTCTCAATCCAAATCATAACTCAAATATGCACATCCAAACACAAACTCAAGTTACAACTTCAACTCAAGTTAAAACTCAAACTCAACTGAAAATCATCACTCAAATCACTCTAACTCAAAAATGCAAAAGAACCCCTGAGACTTTTGTTTCAAATTCAAATATGAGATAATTAACAAGCTTTATCTTGGACATAGAGATTGGATTCCTTCTAGATGTATGACTTCTACTCTATAAATAAGAGAATGATAGAAAATTGTGAGACACAATTTTTTGACCTATTTTTCTAAGTGTGGCTGAAATTCTCTATAGAGTGAGAGGAAAAATATTTTTTCTCCAAAAATTCCACATCGTGCATGCATTGGTGTTTATGGAAATTTGAGTGTCTATTCTAATCCGTTTTGTCTCAGGTGTGCCCACACACACGTTTTCGTGGATTCTAGGAATTGACGTGAAAGACATTGGTTTTTTAAACACAAGGCTTTGGAGCAAGAATTGTTCGAGGTCAAAGAACTCAAGTTATCATCCTAATCGGCGGCCAAGTATTATTCGTAATTGAGTTCTTAATAAATGAATTAATGTGATTAATTTATTCATGCATAAATTAATATAATCTATAGAGTATCTCAAAGGTTTTATGAAAATTTTTGTTATACTTGATCCGCTATCCCCACGCTTCCATATCCGAATTCGATTCAGAAACCAACAATTGGTATCAGAGCGGTTTATAGACGATATTAATTTATGCTCCGATTATGTGATAATCAAAATTAGTATATTAAATATGTGATATTTAATTATGTATGTATGTGATGGGTAGGCACTTGCATTTATGGATGTTTATATTTAATTCATGTTGATGAATGTATGGATGATGAATTTGGTCGTTAATTATATGGTTCCATGGATCGCATTAAATTCGTTCAAATTAAATTATTTCTAATTTTATTTGGAATTAGAATTATTGTAATTCTAGGATTTTGGTAGAATTATAGTTTTTTGATTTTGAATCAAAAGGAAGTCCGAAAGATCAAGTTTGAAGATACCCAGAAACAACTCCAGATCTGCCCAGACCAGTGCCCAGAAAGTAGGCAGTGCGCGCCCAGCGCGCCTAGTGCGTGCCCAGAAAACAGGCAGCGTAAGGCCAGTTCGCGCGCGCGCACGCACCTAGACGCGCGGCTAACGCCCCAGACGCAATCAATGGGCTCCGAAGGGGCCCAAGGGTTTTCAAAACCCTTGTAATGCTTGCCGATAGACCCAGAAGAGTTCCGGACCCCGAAGAAGGTGGAATCCGACCCAAAGAACGAAGCCAAAGAATGAAGAATTCAAGAATCGAAGGCCCGTTGATGTAACGGAAGAAAATAATTATTGCAATTATTTATTTATTCGATTTGGTTGTAATTGATATTTTCCATGGGACCCGGTCAAATCCATCTCAATAGCTGATTGCATATATTTATATTTTATGTTGATAATTATATATTATATGTCCATGCATATAACATGCCATATAGATATAGTGTGCCTACTCATATGTTTTATAACATGCCATGCATACACGCGCATTTATTATATTTATTTTATTTATTTAAAATAGTTTTAAAAGGTTAAAATAAAAAACATGCGCTAAAATCGATTTAATAGGATTAAATTGATTTAAGTTGAAAAATTGATTTGCAAAATAACGTTATATGTGAAATTGAATTTAAGAGTTAAATTTTAGAATTTCACATATCTGAAAAATAAATTGTTTATTTATCGGGATTTAAAAAATATGAGATGATTTTTAAATAAAATACATATTTGCAAAATAATAAGTGGGAGAGGGTTGTATGACAATACCACCTACTGGTCTCCACCGTTAGTGCAACAACGTGAGATCCGGATAGGGGCTTTGCGGTGACATTGAATCGCCCTCCCAAAGGAGAGTGTTCTTGCCGAATCAATAACAAGGTTGGCTTCCTAGAGATAGGATTTCAGGATGTATTTCTGAATTGACTACCCAAAGGTAGCAATCCGGAGTTAAGTTTATGGGATCTGAAACTGTGGGTTACACTCATGAAGATATAATCAAAGTTTGTTGGTTATATTTTGACTAAAAATAACAATAGTTAATAAATATGAAAATATGAGACATTTTGATTATACTTATTAACTGATAGGAGTCTTGGTTCAATTTGTAAATAATTTGACTACCCAAAGGTACACTTTATTTGTGGTAAATTAGATTATTGTTGGCACCTAAAATTAAAACATGATTTATGTATTTTTCATATGCATCATGCATCATATTTAATTGTGCCTAGAATTATATGTTTTGATATTCATGCACATAAATTGATTAGATGAATATTCTATTTATTTCATCTAATATGTCAAATCCTATAATCTCACTACACAAAACTGAAACACTGACTAGAGATAAACTATGCAAAGTGGTAAAGTAACATAAACAACTCACATTCATATGATGAATATAAGTTTGTCCCAAATGGAGGATTGTCCTCATGTCCCTAACAAAACCACTATAGCTAACTCTTAGCTAGGGTTGTGCGTGGTAATTCACAAGAAATATGAAAGCATGGAAACAACTTATGAGATAATGCAGTCATCAGATACCGTATCTGAAAATTCATATAAGAAAGGCTTGGCTAAATACTGTAAGGGTCCTGACCAAAAGACAAAGGGAAAATCGTTTCCACCAAAATAAAAGAAAAGAATCAAGCGAATATGATTTGCCAGTTCTGAAAACATGTTTAGTAAAGAGTGATTCATATTCCTGGATAGTGGATTCGGGAGTTACTACTCATGTTTTTTTATTTATTATGTCTTAGCTGTCACAAGGAAAAACGTTTCCACTGAAATAAAGGAAAAGAATCAAGCAAATACGATTTGCTAGTTCTAAAAACATGTTTTAGTAAAAGGGTGATTCCTTATCCTAGATAGTAGATTCGGGAATAACTAATCATGTTTGTTTTCTTTAAGTCTCAGCTCTTACAAGGAAATTATTTCCCGAAACAAAGAAAGGAACTCAAGCAAATATGATTTGCTAGTTCTAAAAACATGTTTTAGTTAAAGGGTGATTCCTCATCCTGAATAGTAGATTCGGGAATAACTAATCATGTTTATTTTCTTTATTAAGTCTTAGCCCTTAAATGGAAATTATTTCCACCTAAACAAAGAAGTAGAATCAAAGTAAATAAGATTTACTAATTCTAGAAACATCTTGAATAGATGGTGATTTCTCATCCTGGATAGTTGATTCGGGAGCAACTGATCATGTTCGGTTTTCTTTGCAAAATATTAGTTCTTACAAAAAACTTGCCGTCAGGGACTACACGATGAAAGTGAAAAAACCGTGAGGGTACTGGCAAAAGCAGTGGGAGAAGTTAGACTTTTGTTTTGGAAATACTATGTTGTGAACAATGTTTATTTCCCTCCAGGCGTAAAGAGAAATTTGATTTCTAGTTCCAAATTATTTGAACAATTGCCTTGAATAATAATCTAGTCCACATCTTTCGAAATGGTTCCGATATTTGTTCTGGATATTTGGAAAATGGTTTATACCGTTTAGACCGATGCCTGGCTCACTGCGTAATGTTGAAATGTTCAAACGTTGCCAAACCTAAGAATAAGAAGCAAAGGATCTCTCACGATAATAACACATATCTGTGGCATCTTAGGCTTGATCATATTAACCTAAACAGGATTGAAAGACTGGTAAAGGATGGTCCTTTATGCGAACTAAAAGTTTGTAAGCTTCCAGTCTGTGAATCTTGTCTGGAAGGTAAAATGACTAAGAGGCCTTTCACGGCGAAAGGAGAAAGAGCTACAGAACTCCTTCAGCTAAAACATTCGGATGTATGTAAACCGTTAAACGTCCAAGCTAGAGGTGATTACGAATATTATGTTGCCTTTATTGATGACTATTTGATATATGGTTATGTTTACCTAATGCAACGGAAATCTGAAACTTTTAGAAAGTTTAGAGAGTTCCGAGCAGAAGTTGAAAAATAATTAGGTAAATCAATCAAGACACTTCGATCAGATCGAGGGAGAGAATACCTGGACTAATAGTTCTGGGATTTCTTGATTGAAGAAGGTGTAGTATCCTAATTGACTGCACCCAGTACACCATAGCAGAGTGGTATAGCCGAAAGGGGAAATCGGACTTTGCTTGACATGATAAGATCAATGTTGAGTTATTCTTCACTTTCTACTTCGTTATAGGGTTACGCCCTAAGAACCACCGTGTATATTCTGAATCTACCGCCATCTAAGTCTGTACCAAAAACACCCCTAGAGTTATGGAATGGTCGAAAGCCAGTTTTGAAGCATATTCACATATGGGGGTGTCCGGCTCATGTGATGAAATAATAGACTGGGAAGTTGGAACCAAGATTAGAAATATGCATATTTGTGGGATATGAAATGGAGACAAGAGGAGGATTATTTTATATAGTCACAAGAATCAAAGGGTATTTGTGTCGACAAATACCATGTTTCTAGAGCATGACTATATGATAGTTTTCAAGTCCAGAAGCAAAGCAGTTCTAGAAAAGTTACTTTGCAATGAGATTGGACCACAAACGAAAAGAGTTGTTGGAACGCTTAGAGATAAGACCAGGAT